ATAGAACTGATAGATCATATTTATAAGAAAAGAAATAAATATAAAATATGAATAAATTAATAATAATTTATAATTAGAATACATATAAATTAAACAGAATTAATTAACTTAATTTGTATCTTCAAAAGATAACTAATTATAATCTAATAATTATAAATAATATAAATAATAATATAAATAAATAATAAGAAGAATGAATAAAATTATAAAAAAATATTAATAATAAATATAATTAAAAATATTAATAATTTAAATTAATAATTATGATATACATAGTGATTATCTGCATGATAATGTACTAAATCTAATGTATTAAATACATAATGATCATCTATCTATATATCCAGTATAAAATTAATCTTTTTAAAAATATAATACAAAACTAATTTATAATATAAATAATGTAAAATGAAGATTTAAACTAAAAAAATCTAAAAGAAAGATAATTCAATCAAAATTATTATATAATATTTGAATTTTTTAAGACTCAATATAAATATTTATTAATCAAAAATTAATTAAATACTTATAAAGAAGCATAATAAGTAGATAAAAATTCTATTTTAATTAATATTTAAAAAATAATTAAATATTATACTATAACTTAAAATAATATGATATCTAATACTATCTTTTATTATTAAAATAAAATAAATATTTTGTCTGATTTTATTAATATAAAACTAATTAATAATAGTAAAAAAGAATAAATAGGTAAAAATTCTATTTCAGTTAAAATTTATAAAGTAATTAAATATTATACTATAACTTGAAATAATATAATATTTAATACTATCTCTCATTATTAAAATAAAATAAATATTTTATCTAATTTTATTAATATAAAACTAATTGATAATAGTAAAAAAGAAGATTTAGAATTATTAATTAAATAACTATCTTTTGATAATTCAATAATAACTTAAAAATATATTAAAATTAATAAAATAATATTAACTTTTTAATATTAATTAATAATAAAATTTTAGTCATATTATAAGAAAAAGAAAATTCTTTAGAATTTTTAATTATAATATCTAATAATAAAGTACTTTAAACTTGAATAATATTTTATTCTTTCTTGATAATTCTTTAATAATTTTTAAGTATAAAAAAGAATTTTAAAGTAATTAATCAATTTAAAAAATAAATTATGAATTATATAATACAAATAAAAACTTAAACTACTTTAAATAACTTTATTATTAATACTTAGTTTTAATTTTTTAAAATTATTTAATAAATAAATTTATAATAATTTTTATATAATGAATTTTATATAATTTTATATATAATTTCATTATATAAAATTTTTTTAATATAATAAATTACTTGATAAATTGAAACTAACTATCTAATTCAAAGATTTTATTATATTTAATTTTGATTATAATTAAATAAATAAATAAAGAAAATATTTATAAATAAGAAAAAAGATAAATAATAATTTAATTTATATTTAGATAAAATTATATAATTAATATTAATATTATATCAAATTTTTATATAATAATTATTGTCCGCAATATCGTTAGGAGAGTCAGTTGATAATTTTTCATCTGATACTAAAAAAGGATTATTTTCAATATCATTACCATTACTGTCCTGTTCGTATTACAAAGAGTAGTCAGTTAAATTTTGTTTATAACCCAGCAACAATAAAACCTAATAACAATCACCTCATGAGTTTTGGTACGTTTTACTTTTCTTTCCTTGCAATCTAAGAACCTCTTCGTAATGCTAGTGGTAGTTGACCTAGCGTAGTGTTTAATTTGTTTTGTTGCCACATCGGCAATAGTTATGTGTTGGGATGCCTGTGTACGGAAATGGATCATGAATATTGAATATTTTGGCCTAGTGCGTTAAATGTGGAGAGAATAGGAATGTGAAAATGGGAGCATGAAGCACCTGCAAATCCTGGACCGTCTTTTTAACTCGTGCATCGACTCTATCCTCATGCAATTTAACCTTCCCAATGATGTTTTGTCTCTCGACTTGAAGCTTCCAGAAACGTCTTATTATAGCAGATTTTTTATCACTCTAACGATAACAAATGGAAGTTATAAGTGTCTGTTCTTAACATACTTCGTTTTATAATTTGTCCTATTCGAATACAAAAAGAATAGGAGACATCACGAACAAACAAGCACCCAGACTATATCATTAATATCTTTACGCGAGCACCTTGGGTCCCAAAGTTCATTGAGCATAGCTCACCAACAGACACGCGGTCGTTCCCACTACAAGCGCGCGGGTTGTAGAGTAGCTGGTGTACTCAACGATACAAAGGGTCTCAAAGTGGTTCGTGGAGTATAGTTCACCAACAGACACGCGGTCGTTCCCACTACAAGCGCGCGGGTTGTAGGGTAGTCGGTGTACTCATGCTCCTGAGTACACTAGTTAATACTTGCCTTAAAAGTATTTTTCCACCTTATCACTTCCCGCCCATGCTCAGATACTTCAGCATAGAATTTGCTTATTGTACCTAGTTCTTTACTGTACCGGTAATACTCGGTTTTCATATCTTCTAAATCGCCAGCCGAAAGTCGAAAATCTAAAAATTTCTTGAGCGAAGGATCGTCTGTGCTCTCCCAAAAAGCTACATATCACAAATGAAAAATTACGATATAAATTATCAAAAAAAACATCGGCACAACACATCTTACCGCGATATTTTACAGCGTTAAGACAATCAGGGAGAAGGCGCATTTGTTCAGTGAAAATACAGATAGGCAAGCCTTATTTATTAATAGATCGCACTAACAAGGGATATCACCTTTTTATATAATTTCCAGGATCGATGTCATATGACGAATGATTTCAGTTTACATAACAAGGGGAAAATTTATATACGCGATCGCGACATTTTTAGCCAAGAAAAATAGGTTGAGTATTACTATCCATTTGAATGAATATACTTTTTTTTCCTGGCCCTGTAAGTCCTACGAGATTGGGATGTTCGCTTCCCAGATCTGCTGTAGGTGTTGTGTTTGGAGCGGGCTCACGACGAAGTTCGTTTCGCAAAAATTGGTGTGCTGTTCAACCACATTGCCATCGTGTGCTGGTTTTTGAAGAAATCGTAAAGGTTCTGCTCGAAATGTCAGCGTATCCGGGTTCTGTAAGTCCTGCGAGACTGCTGTAGGTGTTATGTTTGGAACGGGTTCGCGACGAAACCTAGTTTCGAAAAAATGGTGTTTAGTGTCCTTCTGTTCCACAGCGGGTTCTTAGTGCCATCGTGAACCGACCTTTTCGGTTTCTTCAAAGATTTCTGGTGTTATTCATCAAATTTCAACGGCAATAACGGTTTCTTCAGATTTTGTGTTTTTTATAGACAACATACATAAAGTACAGACATTATGATATAGTTCTACACTTCCACCACAATCTTAATTGTTCTGGAATGCTCACATTGTTTATTCTCGTAGGAAATTACGAAACCTTTGAACCCTCGACTTCAGTTCGTTATTGATATGCTATTCGATTTCTCTCCCATCAAATTTTATAAGAAATATGTGAGTTTGCACACGTCTCTTGAGGAAGCTGAGGCGAGTTGGTTAGCTCTGCTGAAAATTGTGAGTGAGTCAGGGAAGGCCCAAAGAGGCTACTTATTTAAAGCATAATATAAGATTATTTATTTATAATAAACAAGATAAAATGCAAATTGAATAGTTTCAATTTATAAATAATTTATGATTTCTTAAGTCATGTTTTCAGAGGATAATGTTATACTTAATTTAATATAATTAATTTAATCTATAATAATTATTTGTATATCTAATATAAAATTGATCTTCTTAAAAATATAATACAAAACTAATCTATAATACAAATAGTACAAAATAAAGATCTAAATTAAAAGAATCTAAAAGAAAGATAACCTAATTAAAATTATTATATTTTAAAATATATCAAGATATAATATCTCTTAAATTATCAAGTATATAAATTTGTATGCTTAAATTTTTTCAGATCTATTTTTGTATATTTACTCCTGATTTTCATAAGTTATACCCTCCTTTCTTAAGCTAAAATAAAAGTATATTATATTCTAATTAAGATATGATTGATATATTATATATAATACTTACATATCTGTAATATATATCAATTAGAGATCATACATTCAATAATTATTTTTCAAGATTATAATTATTCTTTCAATATCAAATATGTCTTCTAATCTTAAGTTGGCTTCAAGTTTGATCTCTTCTGAAAATACAGTATTTTATGTTAATAGTGATGAAGAATATATATCATATTTGATTTTTTATTTATACTTATTGAACAATTTGAACTGGAACTATAATGATAATGATATTGAACTTATAGAATTAGATGTTAAAAGTTCTTACAAAAGAGATTGCAAATCTGCCAAAACAAAATAATAAGAATTATTATAATCTTCTCCTAACTTTGAATTATTTGTCTATTTAAAACTATTATATTAGATTTTTATTTGATTATTATCACATCTTGATATTTCTGTTTCTAAACTAATTAATTTTTTTCTTTTTTTTATAACTTTCATCCTGAATATAATTATTGATAATATGAATTTATATATATCAATAAAAGATATTGATATTATCAGTAGAATTTGACAAGACTTGACATATAAAGAGCTTATTATTTGAATCACTCTTGTTATTTATCAAGAACTTTTTAAGTTATCTTCTCTTAATCAATACTGGAATAAGAATATAATATTCTCTGTTTATCAAATTTTACAGCAAATATCATTAACATATTTTGAATAAATTAAAAGATTTCTGTACATTTTCTTTTTTATAATAATAATCAAACATTACTTTGAAAAATTAGAGCTTTTGCTTTCACATGTTCAAGATACTTCAAAATAACTTTACATATCAAACTCAAATATTTTAGTAAATAAAATGATAGTTTTATTTTCTGATAAAAGTATACATACTATTCAAATAAAAAACAAGCCCATTCTCAAGAGTTTCAAGATTTTATCTCTCTGCAAAGTGAGATATATCTATACTTTTCTACTGATATCACATATTTCTTCAAGTGATATAAAAAAGATAAACTATTTTAGTCAAACTGGATATTTGATTCTCTATCTTATCAAACAACTTTTGTATTAATATTTTCTATATAATATATATATGAATAATTATTTTTCTAGTATTTCTCTTTTTTAATATCTTAGAAAAATTAATATTAGTATCTGTGGAACTATTTGAAAAAATTCTTCTGAATTTTCAAAAGAATTGAAAGTTAATAAAAATATCAAATTTAATTGGGATATTTATTTTGATATCATAATAGAAAATATATTAGCTATTTTTTAATAAGATAATAAATCTATTATAATATTATCAATAATTCATAGTCTTATTAGTAAAGAATGACAAGTAATATAAGAATAATAATGATCAAGAGAAACAAATGCTAATATAATAAAAGTACAGATAATGTTCAGATCTGAGTCAAAAAAAGAATTAAAAATCTCCAAAATAATTGATAATTATAATCACTATATGAATAATATAAATATTACTGATCAACTGTAATCATATTACAGTACATAATAAATAATACAAAAAAATTGAATACCTCTTTTTTTTTAGTTGCTTGATATAATAATCATCAATGCATATTGGATTACTAAAATTTTAGAATCAATGCAAGAGCATAAAGAATTTTATTATAAAGTTATTTAGAATCTTGTTGATTTCACTAATGATACTGGTGAAATTCAACTGAGAAACAAGATAAAAGAAAAAAAATAAACAAGAATAATCAAAAACTTTGAGTTTTCAGATAAATAGCTAGAATCTGAAAATTATTTTATAATATAAAAAAAAAGAATGAGAAGCATGTAGATAATACTCTTGACTAGCAAAAAAAAAAGAATTGATATGGATCATAAATCATCAAATCAAAGTCAACTTTGATGTAAAATATTTAATATAGCTCTTTGCTATAATATAAATTGGAATTATTTTTTAGATTTTCATATCAAAAAATAAAAGCAAGACTCTGATAATTATTTTAATCTGATTTTTATATTTCAAATATATATATATATATAATTTTTCTGTGTTTAGATATATAGTTCTTGAAAAAAGATAATTTTACTTTGAGAATTAGAGCATGAAATTCTTTATATTATATAAATAATACTTTTGATTTGCATCATATACTATGTACTACACTACTTTTTTAAAATGTGCTATGTGATACAAGCCTTTAGAAATTATTTTAGTTAATTTAAGTGAAATTTATATAAAAAAATTTTTTTATTATTACTTTTCTCTTACTAATTTAAGTATATAAATTTATATGCTTAAATTGATAGTTTAAGAAATAATCTTTTCAAGAGATAGATTCACTAATTAAAAATCTTATAAATTAGTAATTTTGAAGTTAAATATAAATCTAATAAAGATAATATTATCACAAATATATTTTTTTATCAATTATATCTGATAAATATTATAATTATTATTATTAATTTAATTAACAAAGAAGAGTTAATTAAGAAATATCAAGAAAATAAATATTTTACTAAAATATATAAAATCTTGAAGAACTTTAATAGTATAATATTAAAATAATAAACTAAAAAAAAATATTTTGAATTAAAAAAAACTTTTTATATCATAAAAAATATTATATCTGATAATAAAATCTTAAAAATAAAGATATTATATAAATTTTATAATATATTAATTATAGAATATATTGAAATAGATAAAATAAAAATATTTACAAATATATTACCAGTTATAAATCTTATTAATATAATAAAAGTAGTAATTAACTATACTTATAATTACATTAATCTCTTATTATATCTAAAAAAAGATGAGAATATATTTATAATTTAGTTATCTATTACTAAAATCTGATATAATATTATAATTATATTTATAAATAAGTTATTAAAAAGAATGTATTTTATATTAATAATTATAATAATAATAGTACCTGATATTATAAAGATATTCTTTGAAAATATTTTTAAATTATATAGTTTATTGATAGTTATAATATCAAATAAAGATACTAAATTCACAAGTTACTTTTAAAAATCTCTTTTTAAATAACTTGAAATTAAATTAGTAATATTAATTATCTTTTACTCATAAATAGATAATCAAATAGAAAGACTTAATAAAACTTTAAAAGAAATACTTAAAATATATATTATCTATCAATAAAATAGATAGAATAAAAACTTAGTTACTATAGAATTTGTTTATAATAATAATAAAAATGCTTTAATTAGTTATACACTCTTTAAGTTAGATTATAAATAAGTATCTTACATATTAATTAATATCTTGTTACTATTATCATAATAATATAAAATTTCTTAATTTCTTAATCTTTTTCTAGTTATGAAAAATCACATATTTTTATAATTTTTACTTATTTTATTAATATTCCTATTTTCATATTATATATTACTATATTTATTATCATATTTCTATTTTTGAATATTATATTTTATTTATTCAAGATCTATATTTTTGTAATATAATATTTATATATATAATAAAATAATATAGTAGAAGATTATTTTTAAATAGTTACACTTAGAATGTTAATCATAATTATCTTTTCATATTCTTTGATATTCTTTAATATTCTTTTATATCCTTTCATATTTTTCCACATCTTTCAATTTCTTTTTACATTTTTTAATATCTTTTTATATTTTTCAATATCCTTTTATATACTTTGATATTCTTTAATATTCTTTAATATCTTTTAATATATTTCTAATTATTTATACTATAGTACTTTAATTATAATATGTATATTAGATAGTATTAGCTAGTAATATTATAATAATTTATGTATTTGAAAAATATATAAAAGGACCTGCTATTTCAGCTTGAAATAAATAATTTTAAATTGAATTATTTAAAAAATATAATTAAAAAGCTTATTATAATAATAATAATAATAATAATAATAATCTTTTTAAAAGATTTTTTTTCTAATTATACTAGTACTCTTTTTTTATTCAGTTTGATCATACAAAGTTGATTTTATTTTTGAATTATAATATTATATTGATTTTTGATTTTTGATATTATTTTGAGAGTAAAATATCTTTACTATAAATAAGTTATATTTTTTATTTTATTATTTTTGAGAGTAAATGATTTCTACTATAAATAAGTTATATTCTATTTTTATTTAGTTATTTAATTTTTGTATTTTAGTTTTTATTTTTTATTAATTATAATCTTCTTTGATTAATAGTAGTTTTACTATTTAATTATTTCAAATCTTGAATTATATTGATTACTAGTAACTTCACTAAGCTAATCTTTATAATTTCTTTGATTTATTTATTTATTTTATCTCTTT